CTCAGTGTTGGCCCACCATTAGTTGAAGAGATCTCTATGGATATCAGACAAATCAAGAGCGGCAAATAAGCAGGACCAGACAACATTCCCGCCGAGGCAATGAAAGCAGACCTGGTAGAAATATTCCACATTCCTTGCAAAAAAATTGGGATTAAGAACAAGTACCATCAGAATGGAAAGAAGGAAACCCCATCAAAATACCAAAGAAAGGCGATCTCAGCAAGTGTTATAATTACAGAGACATGCCTCTCCTTTCAGTACCACGAAAAGTCTTCAAAAGATTAGAATCAAAGATTCAGTAGACACAAAACTTCGAGATCAACAGCCTAGATTCCGTTAGGATCGATCGTTTACCGACCGATTTGTAACATTACGAATCATCGTGGAACAATCAATTGAATTGAACCAACCACTCTAAATCAACATCATTGACTACGAAAAAGCATTTAATAGTATGGACAGGACAACATAATGAAGGCTCCTTCGACACTACGGTGTACGTGAGAAGACAATCAAAATCATACTGAATTCCTACAATGGATTAAACCGCAAAATCATGCACGGAGGACAGCTGGCAGACTCGTTCGAAGCAGAGACTGGTGAAGTTTCTACCATTCGTCTATTGATCTGCCTTTCTTAACTAGTACTCGTTTCCTAGCAACAGCATTGCTTACTCAATGGTCTCAGGATAGACGAGCAGTGCTTCAAAGACACTGACGATCGAATACTAGCAACCTATGAATATCCTCCAATATTAGCGTCCATTGTCTCACACTTGTACAGTAGGACTGAGGGAAAGGCTGTGCAGTAGACTCGTCCTTTGGTTAGCAAACGGATATCTCACCTTCTGTATCTGTTCTCAGATTTCGTCATTCACCAGGCCATCAGCACTGATGAAACTCTACACGCTCAACTACTTTATTCCCTATCACTAGTTCAGGTTCCGATAAAGCCAATCCTGTAGCAATATTTCACATTTCGAGGAGGAAAATCGCATCCCGAACATGCTTGCATTGTTGCTGAGTATAGTTAAAAGACTCTGAATTTTATCAGCATCTTCACCAAGTAGAACTATGTGATCGGCATATTCTAAGTCAACCAGTGAATCCCCTGGTCGAAGGTCCACTCCTGAAAAGTCAAACGAAGATAATTTTATATCTAGAAGCAGGTCCATAACAAAGTTGAATAAGAATGGGTAAAGTTCAAAGGCTTGGTGGACACCACTTGAAGTAATCAACTCCGATGACAGTTCACCATACTCTCTAATTCGACCAGTGGTGTTCTGGCAGAGAGCTTGTATTTCTTGGGCACACTGTGGTGGAGTTTCGTTCTCTGAGCGGAATGTTTTGACTGTAGTGCTTTCATTGTTCTTCTGAACAACATTAACAGCGCAAACATTCAATCGAAGTGAAGTATTCGAACTTCTCTACTTTTTATCCGTAGCTCGTTCGTTTAACCTCGATCTTGATTAGTTGTTATCGACCTGTCATTTGCACCTTTATTTTGATTTTATCTCCTTTTTATCTGTTTCGCGATTCTATCTGAAGTTTGTGCTGATGTTGTTGTTCAGAAGTAAAATGAAATCACCGCAACCAAAACATCCAGCTCAAAGAACGAAACTCCATCACAATCATCCACTCGAGGTACAAAGTTTCCCCACCATCTTCTTGGGTACACCTTACAATCACAGACACTGCCATAGAACCTCACGATTAGCAGAGTCAAATGCCGCCTTAGGGTCGACAAGTACAATATTGTTGGACGTCGAAATGCGTGTTTATGTTTCAGGAGCTGAATATATGGTCTCTACATCCATATTCAGGTCTGAACCCATCCACTTTTTGCTTTGGTTTATCAAGGCTTTTCAGCTTGAATGTCTCTAACGTGTTACTGCCCCTTTGTCGTCACGATCTGATGACGGGTTTTCGTTGAATTTATTATTGGGAGTCTGTTTGCGTAAAGTACTTAGGATGCTGTGCCACATTGATTTAGCATCAAACGTAATGGTGTCAATAGAACTATTACGATTTTCCAAATGGTTGCGATCGAGATTTGTGTGATGACTTTTCTTGGTTTCTATGATGAACTTGCATTTGGTAACAGGTCTGTCAGACGTTTACTACTGTCGATGAGCTTTACAATGGCTGAGTCCCCTGATGATTCTTCTGGTGTATGATGTATCGTTGGGTAAATCTCTACTATTTCGATACATATATCAGACAGTGTTAACGAATCAAATTCCAGATCATTAGTACCACGTAGTGGAGAGAAGCTTAAATGGAATAATACAATAATATTGGAATCTTCAGATCACAGACTGTAGCCGATAAAACGAAAAAATTGAATGATGTCGGTAAAGCTTATGACGTCTTGTGAATCACCACCAGTTGTGTCCATGGATTTCGCTAAACCCTCTAAAAAAGCACTTCTAGTTAAATCACAGTAGTACTTACTTCAACCCTTACATAGCAAATTATCGCAACAAGTGTTAGAATGACGGTAAAGTCATAGATGATTTCAAGACCAAGAATATAAACCGCAACCAACTGCCTGTGCAAAAGTTTTTATTTGAACAACCTCCATCTTAACGTGTGTTACCGTCGAAATGAGTCACCTTCAAAAGCGAAGTTCCTCACAAATATGCCGAATAAAATAGCACATCCACAATATCCTGATAAGTTGCGCCTGTTACCTCTAATGAAGCATCGGTCACCGACCAGAACTAACCAACCAATCCAATCAGGATAGTGAAACATGATTCTGCTTTTCCAGAGATTTCTGTGAAGATTTTATTCAATGTTGATTTGATGACGTGTTTCCTGGCGTTTCTGTGCCTCTATAGACTTTCCTGAGGGATATTTCGTGACTCTCCAACATATCCTAATTTGATATCTGTCGTAGTGTTGGCGCCAACTTATTCTCCTAGAAAGGGAGTCTTCTGGTTACCTGATTACATACAAGAAAGTTTGTAGAACATACACGGCAATGAACAATGCTAGCTAATAAGACCTTATTGTATACTCACTATCATGGAAAGCCACTCAAAGTATTTGCTGACAACCAATGTACTGAAGCCTACAAAGTTATGTATAAATAATCCTTTTAAAGAAGTTCCCATACAAACAAGATACAGTCTAGTATTCTTAAGTAACAACTTTTATTCTGGGTATTAACAGTCGATTATCGCTGTACATCTTTGTATGCAACGTGTAATTTACAGCATACTACTACTATTTTAACAAGTGAATAATCAAATATGTATAAAACAATGAACAAGTAATTTTCTGTTCGAACTCTATTATAGTATTTAATTTACAATGTAGTGAATATATATATATATATATATATATATATATATATATATATATATATATATGTATATATATATATTCGATTCATGACCCATTCATGTATCTACTCCCAATACACAAGCAAAACCAAAGAAAAACAAGGAAAAAGGGGAAAAAACAGTTTAAAATTAAAATATGCAAAGAAATGTTCAATGTTTTTTTTTATAGTAAAAATGAGAAAAAAAAATAATTAAACAGATTTACATCGATGTTTGTCTAGTTGTGTGTTTCAAGTCAACTAATGCAGATCAGATTAGTTTTTTGTCTGTACTAAGAGGTAAAAGGAGAAGTAAATATTAATCAGAGGCAAACATAAATCGTTGTTTGTTATTTTGTTTGAAAGACTGGCTCTATTCGATCGATCGATAGATAGACAGATAGAGTGTAATGTAGATGATAACAGTTCACAATCATAGATGGAAATGTTTTAAAATGAAAAGAGAATCACGCCAGATGATAATAAGAATATTAATAGTAAACAACATTGGTTTCAGACGATCTCCACTAATATGGGACGTTTAAACAAAAATAATAAAGCAATCGACTGATAATGTTATTTAGAAACACAACTATTGTTCTATGAATAGAAGAAATAAGGAAGATTTTATGTTGTTGACTTGATAACAAACAAACAAACAAACAAGTAATGTACACACACACACACACGCACACAACGAACAAGCAATGGCATACACAATTGATTGTGTACATGTAGCATTTCTTAAAAAGCAAATTACATAGACAAAAAACCGGGAAAAAAACAGAATACTGGAGGACACAATGTTCGTGATTATATATATAAATAGAAGGGGAAAGAGAACTTGTAGATGAACACAAGAAAGGAAAAAAAGAGTAGACTGAAAGTGAAAAATCCCGACTAATCAATCAATCAATCATACAAGAGTAATTAAATTAATAAAAAGAATTGTAAAATGAAGATTATATATTAGAAGAATATTGAATAATAATCATGGTGATAATCAGTGATTACTTGATAAAAAATTCTATTTGAACAACAATAATAATAATGTGATGGTTTAAAAATGGAATTTTATAAGCTTTCACAAAAGAAAAAAGCATTTATGCATAGAACATATGTCATGATAAATTTATTTTATACATAAATATGTATGAGTGATTGAAGGAAATACCAGTAGACTATTTAAGCAAAAAGAGTGTCAACATTATGTGGATAATCAGTAGTATTAGTAGTAGTATTAAGTAGTAGTGGTAGTAGCCATAAATAACACTAATCTTGAAGAAGAAGAAGAAGAAACAAAATCTACAACTAATCACATACAAGCGCGCTCAATATGCTGCAATGAAACCACTTCAACAACAACAACAACAAAATGAATTGAAACTGTTGAAATAAGGTAGTAAGGAAAGAGAATGCGAGAAAAAGGAAATTTTTGAAAATTTCATTGAATAAAATTCATTGTGAATAAATAAATTGACAAATTAAAAAATAGGAATAATAATAATAATAATAGTAATAATACTGCTTCAAGATACTCCACGCGAAAAACTTCGAAAAAATGACAAAATAGCAATGAGTAAATTTCGCCAAAAATGAGATCTTCGTTGTAGAACTACTGGTGTAGTAGTAGGATCTGCTGGACTATTTGTCATAGTGTTATCATCTTCTTTAAGCCATAAAATTATTGGATCTGATGTGTATACAAGTAAACAACTAGCTAATAATGTCATGGAGAAGCAAACAGCAAGTCTCCTATAGAATAAAAAAAAAATAAAACAAATAAAGTTACAGTGAATGAATTGACGATTGTAAAATTACTAACATTGTTTGTGTTAGGATATTCATCCAATATCCTATGAGAATTATTGGTCAATTCCTATTGGTTGATTCCTACTGGTCAATTTTATGGTCGTCCTAGATATCACTGTCACATAATCAACATAAATCAAGGAAATTGGTGTGGTTGGCGTTAGGACTAGATTATGTTATGATTAAAAGTCAGTTGACGTTATAACACAAGAATAACACATAACAGGAGATTAGTTATAAAGTTTCTCCACCCTCTCACAATTCAGTCAGTCAGTTACAACGTAGACCTTCGTACGTAAGTACGTCAGTTCAAGTTGCCATACCACATGAGCACAGAGATAGTAAAAGTATTAGATGTAATCGGAGAGATTAGGGTTCAAAGATGTTATTCAAGAAGTATAATTCAGTGAGGTAAATTTAGAAAGAGAAACGTAGATGTGTTGACGAATCCAGAAGGTTAGAATTTCATAGAACACAAAGAGTAAATGCACCTGCGCCATCGCAAACGATTCTGAGCCATATCACTCAACGTGTCTAACCATCGATTATTATCATTTGGCAGACACCAACCATGTAGTCGACACCTACCGAGATGACTCAGTTCACTTGTCGGTGACGAGGCAGTCGGTGGTTAGACATACGTAACACATGTCTCAACCACCTCAACTGATGAAGTTTCATTACTTCATCTATTGATCTGCCATCCTTACCTAGCATCCGTTTCCTAACAACAGCATTGCTTACTCGGCTGTGGCACGATACTCGAGCAATGCTTCGAAGACACCTATGATCGAAAACCAGTAACCTACGAATATCTTCTACTATCACTGGCCATGTTTCACAGCCATAAAGTAAGACGGAGCGAACTGCTGAGCAGTAAACTCATCCTTTAGTCAGCAAACGGATATCTCGCCTTCGCCATAAGTGACGTAGGTTGGCAAAAGCCAATCGAACTTTATGTATCCGTGTTGAGATTTCGTCAGTCTCACAATTAGAAGTACTTATGGCAATATTCAGCAGTACAATGCTGTGTACTAAACAAGGCCATTCAAAATATACAAAAAACTATTTTTCTGTTATACGATTTAACTAGGCTTTTATTATAAACATGATAGGTACATCTGTTGGTTGATAATAGTCACTGGAAACATTGAATATAGCATTTGTAACAGGATAAAAGATAGCTTGATGGAGGCGTATCCGTTTTGACGAATCTCAAGTAAAGAGAAACGCGCATGCAGGACTCACTTGATTGATTTCAATGTGCAAAAACACTAATCTCCATAACTCTAATTGAAAAATTCTAAAATATGCTCACCAATGATTAGCTTCGTGAGAAAATTCTAGGAGTTTTAGTGAGAAAACGTGACCGGTGGAGTTACACCCTGTCAGGTGTAGGCAATAACCACCAAAGACAAATGAGTCAGGTCACGCAAAATCTCTGAATCAATCAGAGTTAGACATTGCCACCGTTGGATACCAGCCCAGTGGTGCAGAGGTTAGGCATTCACACGCAAGACCGAAGGTCCTGGGTTCAAATCTTGCGAGGTGCAGGAGTCCTAGATGCACACTGCTGATAAGTCCCATACTAGGACGAAGCGGCCGTCGAGTGTCTGGAGGTTTCTAATGGTGGTCTAACAATGATTGGTTGATGATTTCAATATGCAAAAAAAAAACACAAATCTCCATAACTCTCTAATTGAAAAATAATATGTTAATTTAAAAAAATAATAAAACATACCTATTTTCTGTTAGAACAGCGCCTAAATTTAAACAACGTATAAGCACTTGCAACAACATGGTGACTAGCGCAAAGAATGACACAAATAAATCCGTTAAATAGTGTATAACTTTACGACGAACACGATCCAATTCTGTACCATGTGATTCAAGGGTATTGGATTGATCATGAGGTTTTTCAATCATACTTACCTGTAAAAGAACAGAATGAGAGAAAAAGAAAGAGACTTTGTCAATTAATCTAACTTATATAACTACTCACTCACTCATATGACAATTATTAAATCAACGACAACAAAAAATAAAATAAAATAAAATAGTTTAAATTTATCAGATTAGAGATGAATATTTTTTTTTCTCTCTCTCTCTCTCGCGAAAATGAAGTTTTATTGATTATTTTTTTTTTGAAAAACAAAAAAAGTTGTCGAATTACAGGTCGATAAACATGAAAGTGAATCAAGGTATATAGTTGAAAAAAAATATCTTCTTTTTTTCATTTCCTCTAGTAAAATCTTATGATGAACATTCCTATTACAGTTCACGAATTTTTTTTGAGCAAAAAGAAAACAGTTCCTACTTTTAATTTTCAAAATAATCCTCTACAGCAATTAATAGAAAGGAATTTTTGACAATTTGTAACCAAAACCTATGGAGATCTCTTAGCTTAGGTCATAACTTTTCAGTATTGATTACCACAGAACACATAAAATTAGTTAACTGTTTAAAACTAATTCATTAAGATTGGAGAACCTTAAGACTTTCTTTAGTTCAACATCTAAAAATATGTGAAACGTAGTTTACTAGTTAGATATTAAAAACAAAAATTATAAAA